GAAGGTCCTACAGGAGGTTCCCTAGCTATTAGATTTGGAATAGTAGAAAAGAAGGCGTGCCCAATGTCCAAAAGAATGCACTTTTGATGGTAGATTACGAGACATTTATTGAGAGTAACGGTCTCAAGGCCATACCAAAAAGGCAGAATCCTAAGGGGGTTTACTGCCAATATCCACCAATGGGTACAACTGACTGGAAGGACTTCTCCCTACCCACCCATGCAACCACCCACCTATAACCAGTGACTGATCCAGTCAGTCCAGCTCAGTCTTCAGCACAAACACAGCTTTTTGATTTGACAGGCTATTGTACAAGCCTATAAGTTAGTATTACAGTTTTGAAAGACTGCAAACTGCAAAGTTTGATATGCCTAGCAGATACTAATTTTGGTCAAAGGGTTCTGAAAACTTCTGTTAATGCTATTGGTTCAGTTTTCTTGTTCAACTATGTTTTGTTGTGTATCCACTCCTCTGTTTAACTGCTTTTAGATGTTCCTAGATTGCTTAATTTTCATCAAGATGTGTCCCTCAATGAAAAATAGAGAAAATATAATTATTGTACTAAAAATCCTTTTAGTCCTTTGAGGGACATAGCTCCCCCCATATTTGCTATTGTTCTTTCTCTGGGCTGCTTGTTGCAGCCGATCAGGTATGAGGTGGCAGGGGTTATAGTGTCAAGGGGGATGACCTTCAGTTTTCTATGTGCATAGAAAACTGCTTAATTATCATTGTTGTGTCCCTCAATGGACTAAAAAAAAACCTATTTTATGTTGAGTACAAAAATTATATTTGGACATTTCTGTGCAGTTGATCCCACTTAGAAGGGTTTGCCTTTTAATCTTAGTCCATTTTTATTATTTTTGTTTCATTCTTGATGACCATAAAGAAAAGTAACCATCTAGGTCTTTGTGACCAACTTCATTTTTAATTCCTATTTGTTTTCCTATATTCACATATACAGTAGGTTCTGCTTTGCTAAAAAAAATGCACAAGAGCAGGGATAAACTGATATGTTATCTCATATGATATGCACTCATTGCAGTCTTGAATAAGTCGAACAATTTGTGTACATTGTAAATGCAATCCCCAAATCTATGTAGCAAATCATACACTCCAGATTTGACAGGACAATGCCACATCTTGGCCATCTGTTCTGCAGGCGATGTCCCAGAATTACAGCATCAATCTCAACAGTGTCCCTGCCTGGCAACACCATATGCTATATGGAGAGACGTTGAACAGCCTTTGCTACACAATACACATGCTCCCCATGTTTACTGTGTCTTTGTAATTGCCAGCATTCTAAATGTGTACGGGCAGCAGCAGGGAATCAAAATTAAATGACCCTATAATGGGGTAGCTTCCCCATTCATCCAAGGGTGTAAATGGGTGCAGCAGTGCAAAAGATTACAGGTATACTGAGAATGAGGGTGCAGGCATGCTGTATACAAAAAGTGCAGAGGGTGCAGGTGAGCTGTGGATTGGGTGTTGAGTCAAGCTGTGTTCAGGTGAGCTGTGGACAAGGGATTCAGGGGTGAAGGTGATCTTTAGAAGGGGTTGCAGATAAGCTTGGTGCAGGTGAGTTGTGGAAAAGGGGTTCAGGGGTGTAGTCGAGCTATGCAAAAGGTGTTCAGAGTTGCAGGAGAGCTGTGGACAAGGGGTTCAGGGGTGCAGGTGACCTATGGATGAGGAGTGCAGGACAGCTGTGGAGAAGGGGTACAGGTGAGCTCTGAATAAGGGATCCAGGAGGTGCAAATAGGCTGTGGATGGACTGTACAGGAAAGCTGGGATGCGAAGTGCAGAGAGGGGGGAAAGGGGTGTGGAGGCAACATGTGTCTTGTATGTGTACATGTTTGTGTGTGTGGGGGTTGAATTTAAAGAGGTTGCCCCACAAAAAAATGACATGATGCCCCTGCCCCAACATTTATACCATACCCTTAGGGTCGGGTGCAGATTTTGAGGGAGACTCCATACACTAAAGGAGCTGTCATTGGCTTGTCCTGTAGTTCAGGGGGAGGTGAACGAACAGACGAGAGGTGATTCTGTGAGCATTATGATGAGGATCTAAACAAGGGGACATTGGGATTGATGGTGGAGTACATCCTGGGACAAAGTTGTGGGGAAGAGGCCCTTGTTCTTATCAATATGGGGACTAGGTACTTGCCAGAGGAGTACCCAAGGTATAAAGGTACCCCTCATGTTGAGGACATATGGTCTGATAAGGCTTAGGGGGACTCGCACTTTCTTGGCCAGCCAGGCTACTTGCTCAAGCTAAGGTTCTTTCATAAATTTTTTGTACCCCCTTAAAATGTTTACCAGAATAAAAAGGGTTCGGTATGCATTTAGGGGGAACTCTAAGTATTTTTTTTAAGTTCTTGCTGTAGGATGTGTAACACCAAAAGTGACATTTAAAAGAGAAAACAAATTACTGGACACGATTGCTGGAAAATGACATTTCATTTTTGGCCTTTAAAAAAAAAAATAGCACACAGACGTCTCCAAAATGCCCCAAATTATCCCCAGCCCAAAGTCTTCATGCCAGTTTTGCCTAACACAATGTATCTTGTTTATGACTTTTTGTAGCCTGTGCTACATCACAGTGTCAATTAAACAGCTGCCATTATTTTGCTCTGAAGGCTATTTTCCGGACATTATTGCTGTGCACATAAAACCCACTCCTGCCTTGCACCAGCATGCAAAGTTCCATGAGGCAGCAGGATTCAAAGAAGGAATAGAAGGACTGGGGTGCTGGTGGCAAAAGAAGAAGAATTAAGGTTTTGATGCTGTCAATGAGGTTAAGTGTTGTGGATCTGGGTTGGGGTGCTGGTGGTGAGGAGGAGAGTTGGCGGTGTTGGAGGTGAGGAGGAAATTTGGGGTGACTTCACGGGGGAAGTTTCACTTATGTGAGGATTTATGGTACCACTCTGAACTGGGTCATATTCTGTTTCAAATGCTACTTTATGCCTTGATATACATTCTCTATAGAAATTTCTCTCTGTCCAGACAGTATAGCCCCCTGCAGCTTCAGAACCTTTCACAGACATGGAAATTGTCCAATGCAATTTTACTTTACAGAATACATTACAAAGGATGTTTTCCTAGTCTCTTGAAGTGTAAAAGGAAAACATTTTAGTCTAGTGTCTGCTATGATGACTAGAGATGAACTGAGGGAAGATTAAACAAGGGTGAGACTATCTAGGACTGTGCTACCTACTCTGAAAACAGGAACATATCAAATGGTACATAAAAAGTTGCTATGACACCAATCTACCATTAGACGTCAGCATAGATCAGAGCATTAATAACAAGAATATAATGCAAAGCACTAGCAGAAATAACATCACAAGTGGGACACAACCAGGGGCGGACTGACCATTTGGAAACTCTGGCACTGCCCGAGGGCCTGGGGTCAGTAGGGGGCCCCATGAGATGCCCCTGGTACCTTTTTCATAGGCTTTTTTGAGTTTGGGTAAGGACACAGGGGCCCCATGATCCCCTATTGCCCGGGGGCCCCATGGGTTATCAGTCCGCCCCTGGACACAACACTCCCCACTTAAAATCTCTAGATTTGACCATACAGTATGATACAAGTCCAGCGCTTTTTTTTCAGCGGAAGTGCAGGGAAATCAGCATTGAATGTATGTAATGGCAAGCAGTGTTGGGGAGTGCTGGAGGGTCTTTTCATTATGGCTGCTGGGAGATCTATTGTTGCTAGAGGGGATCTATTTTTGCAGGGAGGTCTATTATTTCCGGGGAGGTCTATTGTCGCTAGGGGTGGGCCTTATATTGCTGGGAAGCAATTGTTACTGGGAGGGTTCTACTGTTGAGGGCGGGTCTATTGTGGCCGACTGCTGGAGGGTCTGCTGATGCTGGGTGCAGGGAGCTCTGTTGTTGCTGCAGGGGGTCTATTGTTGCTGGGGGGGGTATTTGTTACAGGTAATCTATTGTTGCTGGGGGCGGTTTATTCTAGCTGGCTGCAGACAATCTATTTTACTGCTTTTCTTGTAATCATTAACAAATTGCATACAATACGGACATTCTGACACTGCGGGGGAACTGATTAACTGTCACTGAAATCCCCAGTGACACTAATACAGTGACCAGTGCTAATAAAAAGCACTGACACTGTACTGGGCAGGAAGGGGTTAAATGTGTGTGCTCTGTGTGTGTGTGTGTATTTTACAGTGTAAGCACATTGCTTTGTATTGCTCTGCTACAGTATGCAGAGCAATTAAAAGCAGCGTGCTGGAGCTGACAGGGGAGAGATCTGTATTGTTTACATACAGACCTCTCCCCCATCAGTGATACTCAGTGATCGCTGGGTGCCAGCGAGGAATCTCCAGGATCTGTTGATTGACAGCTGAAGCTGCCAATGGTGGAAATACAAAATCACATATATATACGTGATTTTGCGCAGCTCTGCTGCCCTGTAACAGTATTTCTGCTGTAGGGCTGCGGACAAATGGTTAAGACAATGAACACTTTGCTAAGAAGTATCTAATGTAACATATAGTGTATGGCAGAGCGTAGAGGTTTGAGGTGTACAATACATAGAGTAAAAGGGTTTGATATACACATGCGCATATACTATGTGCGGTCGGTGAGTGCGCATTTCTGCCATTTTCCCGGATCACTCTAAGTTGTGTCCACCACATTCACAGACCGATTAAATTTTTGAATTTATTGATCAAACTTTTTATATCGAATTTATATCGAACTTTTTATTCTGTCTTTTTAGCGCTGCACTTTATTTTAATGATGGGACACTATTCCTCCCACTGACACCAATGATGGGACACTATTCCTCCCACTGACACCAATGATGGGACACTTTTCCTCCCACTGACACCAATGATGGGACACTATTCCTCCCACTGACACCAGTGTTGGAACACTGTCCCCTTCCCCCACTTACACCAATGATGGGCACTATTCCTCCCCCCACTGACACCAACAATGGGGCACTATTCCTCCCCCCACTGACACTAATGATGGGGCACCATTTCTCCTACTGACACCAATGATGGGGCACTATTCCTCCCACAGACACCAATGATTGGGCACGATTCTTCCCACTGACACCAATGATGGGGCACTATTCCTCCCACTGACACCAATGATGGGGCACGTTTCTTCCCACTGACACCAAAGATGGGGCACTATTCCTCCCACTGACAATAATGATGGGGGCACGATTCTTCCCACTGATACCAATGATGGGGTACGATTCTTCCCACTGACACTAATGATGGGGCACGATTCTACCCACTGACACTAATGATGGGGCACGATTCTTCCCACTGACACCAATGATGGGGCACTATTTCGCTCCATAAGACACACTTGGGGGGAAATGTCTGTGTGTCTTGTGGAGCGGTCAGCCCAGTATTCCCGCCACCGTTGTATGTCCACAGTCTCTGGTCATCGCCTGTACTATGTCCGCGTTTGTTAATATTTTTTTTTTATTTTTTTAAACTATAGTCCGGCCCTCCAACGGTCTGAGGGACAGTGAATTGGCCCCCTGTTTAAAAAGTTTGAGGACCCCTGGTTTAGAGTGTTCAGCATGGATGATCATGACAGCTTCCAGCTGGCAATGATTGCTACAGAAGCAGTGGCGGCTTGCAGCCGCCATGTCCTTAGCCACCACTGATGTCACCAGACCCACTCACTTACATGACTGGGAATTCCCAGCCATGTAAGAAAATGGGCATGGAAAAGAGCAGATTTAATCATTGGCAAAATATAGCCATATGGCCAGATTTGGGCAATGATGTCACCACGGTAATGGCTATCATTGGTTGGCAAAGAAGCAACAGCTGCTTGCATCCTTACCAACCACTGACATCACTGACCAATTCACTTATAAGGCCTGGGAATCCCTGGCCATGTAAGAAAATGGGCTCCATGCCCAATGCTGTCTCTGGCTCCAGCACTGCTCCCCTCACTTCCTGATTTCACAGGAGAAATGGAGGGCAGTGAAACCATAGACCCCTGCTTCCACCAGTCGAACTCCTGTGAGGTGGAAGAGGGGGCATTGCTCCATGGACACACACAGCCCAGCTCTGGAAGTCGCACATAATGGGGGGGGCTCCATAGCACTTGGATTGCTACAGGAGACATCTGAAAGAGGGAGGAGCAGACAGCCCAGTCAATGAACTGTCAGAAGAGGAGGTAAGAGCCTTTCCTGTGCAATCTCGTTGCACAGAGCAGGTAAGTATAATCTTTTTTTAATAGCCTTTGGTATCACTTTAACAGATTTGCAAATATTTATTTTTAGTTGTATAGATAGCCACTAGAGATGAGCGAATTATTCAAAAATTCGGTTTGGCTGATTCGCCGAATTCGCCGATTAAATTCGCTTCGTGCCGAATATATTCGCTGCGAATTTAACTTATAAAAAGGGTGTTTCTAGGCTTCAGAGAGCCTTTATATTAGTGCAGAACACTGTACCTTTAATTTAAATGCCCTTGGAGTCTGCTGGGGAAGAGAAATAATACTGTCAGTCAGTATGACATGCAGATGAGTGCCGTCGATCTTAGAATCACCGCACACTTCACTCATTTGGGCAGTCACGGGGCCAAAACCAGAGTGTGGAGCCACAGTGTGGTGGTGGAGGCAGCAGCAATGGGAGGCCATACAGCACCCTATGACAAAATGGAACCCACCAGCAGTGTGAGGAGACTTGAAAGTGGCACATGGCAGAGTGTGGCGATGGAGACAGCAGCAATGGGAGGCCGTACAGGGACCCATGACACACTCTGGACCTGGCAGCAGCATGAGGAGGCGGTACAGGGGCCCATGACAGATTACGGGCCTGGCAGCAGCATGAGGAGTCGGTACAGGGGCCCATGGCAGATTACGGGCCTGGCAGCAGCATGAGGAGGCGGTACAGGGGCCCATGGCAGAGTGGCGGAGCGTAAGCAGCTAAAATTGAAGGCCATACAGAGGCCTATGTTAAAAAGTCCCCCCAGCAGCAGCGTGGGGAGACGACTATCAAGAGTCCAATGGCAGAGTGGCGGAGCAGAAGCAGCTTCAATTGAAGGCCATACACAGGCCTAGGTTAAAAAGCGGAAGCCGTCAGCAGCGTGAGCAGACGACAGAGACACATGGCGCAGGGTGGCGGTGGATGCAGCAGTATTCGGAAGCCAAACACAGGCCTCGGTTAAAAAAGCGGAAGCCGTCAGCAGCGTGAGCAGACGACAGAGGCACATGGCGCAGGGTGGGTGGCGGTGGAGGCAGCAGCAATGGAAGGCCATACAGCACCCTATCACAAAATGGAACCCACCAAACAGTGTAAGGAGACCTGAAAGTGGCACATGGCGCAGGGTGGCGGTGGAGGCAGCAGTATTCGGAAGACATACACAGGACTAGTTTAAAAAGCGGAAGCCGTCAGCAGCGTGAGCAGACGACAGAGGCACATGGCGCAGGGTGGCGGTGGAGGCAGCAGTATTCGGAAGCCATACACAGGCCTCGGTTAAAAAGCGGAAGCCGTCAGCAGCGTGAGCAGACGACAGAGACACATGGCGCAGGGTGGCGGTGGATGCAGCAGTATTCGGAAGCCAAACACAGGCCTCGGTTAAAAAAAGCGGAAGCCAGTCAGCAGCGTGAGCAGACGACAGAGGCACATGGCGCAGGGGTGGCGGTGGAGGCAGCAGCAATGAAGGCCATACAGCACCCTATCACAAAATGGAACCCACCAACAGTGTAAGGAGACCTGAAAGTGGCACATGGCGCAGGGTGGCGGTGGAGGCAGCAGTATTCGGAAGCCATACACAGGCCTAGGTTAAAAAGCGGAAGCCGTCAGCAGCGTGAGCAGACGACAGAGGCACATGGCGCAGGGTGGCGGTGGAGGCAGCAGTATTCGGAAGCCATACACAGGCCTAGGTTAAAAAGCGGAAGCCGTCAGCAGCGTGAGCAGACGACAGAGACACATGGCGCAGGGTGGCGGTGGATGCAGCAGTATTCGGAAGCCAAACACAGGCCTCGGTTAAAAAGCGGAAGCCATCAGCAGCGTGAGCAGACGACAGAGGCACATGGCGCAGGGTGGCGGTGGAGGCAGCAGCAATGGAAGGCCATACATACAGCACCCTATCACAAAATGGAACCCACCAACAGTGTAAGGAGACCTGAAAGTGGCACATGGCGAAGGGTGGCGGTGGAGGCAGCAGTATTCGGAAGCCATACACAGGCCTAGGTTAAAAAGCGGAAGCCGTCAGCAGCGTGAGCAGACGACAGAGACACATGGCGCAGGGTGGCGGTGGATGCAGCAGTATTCGGAAGCCAAACACAGGCCTCGGTTAAAAAGCGGAAGCCGTCCGTCAGCAGCGTGAGCAGACGACAGAGGCACATGGCGCAGGGTGGCGGTGGAGGCAGCAGCAATGGAAGGCCATACAGCACCCTATCACAAAATGGAACCCACCAACAGTGTAAGGAGACCTGAAAGTGGCACATGGCGCAGGGTGGCGGTGGAGGCAGCAGTATTCGGAAGCCATACACAGGCCTAGGTTAAAAAGCGGAAGCCGTCAGCAGCAGCGTGAGCAGACGACAGAGACACATGGCGCAGGGTGTGGCGGTGGATGCAGCAGTATTCGGAAGCCAAACACAGGCCTCGGTTAAAAAAAGCGGAAGCCGTCAGCAGCGTGAGCAGACGACAGAGGCACATGGTGCAGGGTGGCGGTGGAGGCAGCAGCAGCATGGAAGGCCATACAGCACCCTATCACAAAATGGAACCCACCAACAGTGTAAGGAGACCTGAAAGTGGCACATGGCGCAAGGGTGGCGGTGGAGGCAGCAGTATTCGGAAGCCATACACAGGCCTAGGTTAAAAAGCGGAAGCCGTCAGCAGCGTGAGCAGACGACAGAGACACATGGCGCAGGGTGGCGGTGGATGCAGCAGTATTCGGAAGCCAAACACAGGCCTCGGTTAAAAAGCGGAAGCCGTCAGCAGCGTGAGCAGACGACAGAGGCACATGGCGCAGGGTGGCGGTGGAGGCAGCAGCAAATGGAAGGCCATACAGCACCCTATCACAAAATGGAACCCACCAACAGTGTAAGGAGACCTGAAAGTGGCACATGGCACAGGGTGGCGGTGGAGGCAGCAGTATTCGGAAGCCATACACAGGCCTAGGTTAAAAAGCGGAAGCCGTCAGCAGCGTGAGCAGACGACAGAGGACACATGGCGCAGGGTGGCGGTGGATGCAGCAGTATTCGGAAGCCAAACACAGGCCTCGGTTAAAAAAAGCGGAAGCCGTCAGCAGCGTGAGCAGATGACAGAGGCACATGGCGCAGGGTGGCGGTGGAGGCAGCAGCAATGGAAGGCCATACAGCACCCTATCACAAAATGGAACCCACCAACAGTGTAAGGAGACCTGAAAGTGGCACATGGCGCAGGGTGGCGGTGGAGGCAGCAGTATGCGGAAGCCATACACAGGCCTAGGTTAAAAAGCGGAAGCCGTCAGCAGCGTGAGCAGACGACAGAGGCACATGGCGCAGGGTGGCGGTGGAGGCAGCAGCAATGGAAGGCCATACAGCAACCTATCACAAATGGAACCCACCAACAGTGTAAGGAGACCTGAAAGTGGCACATGGCGCAGGGTGGCGGTGGAGGCAGCAGTATTCGGAAGCCATACACAGGCCTAGGTTAAAAAGCGGAAGCCGTCAGCAGCGTGTGAGCAGACGACAGAGGCACATGGCGCAGGGTGGCGGTGGAGGCAGCAGTATTCGGAAGCCATACACAGGCCTAGGTTTAAAACTGGAACCCAGCAGCGTGAGCAGACGACAAAGACGCACATGGCAGAGGATGGATCTGGCAGGAGTATGAGAAGGCGGTACAGGGGCCCGTGGCACAGTGTGGTGATGGGGGCTACAGCAACTGGATGCCAGAAAGTGGCCGATAGGGCTATATACTGCATGGAATTATAAAGTTGTAAAGACAGCGGCCTATAAGGCTATACACACTATAACAATCATGACTTGATTGACCATTGGCCTATAAGGCTATACACAGCATGAATATCATGACTTATTCTGAGAGTGGTTTGGAAGGCTATATACAAAAAGTAATTCATGAGCTGTCCGACAGCGGACAATAAGTACATATATACAAATCAATTCATCAGCTGTCCAGCCAGCGGCCTCAAAGGCGACACATATAGAAAGCAATTCATGAGCTGTTCAGACAGCGGCCTCTAAGGCGACAGATATACAAAGCAATTCCCGAGGTGTTCAGGGAGCGGCCTGAACGGCTAGGTTATTAGGTCAGTTGTGTCAGGACAGCCTTTCAAGGGCAAAATTCAGCTAGTTGGGGCCAAAGGTCAAGTTTCGTTGCCCAGTAGTCAAGGGATTGTCTACCTCGGTAGG